TTTCCTTCTTTCAGCAAGTCTATCACTTTTGGGAGTAGGCCCTAATAAAATCGAGGTATAAATTTACACGAACTCCGCCACTAGTTAACAATTATTGGACGAGGTTGAGCAAAATATCGTGATTTGTCTGCGGTGAGCAGATCAATTATTTGGCTGAGGCAAATAATTGATCTGCGTGGCACTGACAAATCACGATATTTTGCGATAACCGAGTTCAATAATTGTTTTATCATTCGATCACAAAGTTTGTTTTTTTAATGAATATCCTTGGGGAGCAAAGCGATCTGCCATTTTCACGCAAGAGCGGTCGCAAGAAGGAGAAAAGCACGGTTTTCTTTACGCATGAGCAGAATATTATTTGCAGCCAAACACGGTTGGACGGCATTGCACATGAACAGAATATTATTTGTAGGCAGTTATTTGCAGGTCACGTGGTGGGCTCTTGGCCAATGAAAAGAAAGAAAAATTTGCTTCGAATGATAATACAATTTATTAGTAACTGAAATAAAAGTCGTATAACCATCAATATGACACCAGCCTCATGGATCCAGACGCACCGGTCATGATCTCGTACTGATCTTCCCTACATGGTCATGCATGTCCTGCTATAAACTGCTTCAAAGTCACCTTCCTCGGCACTTTCACTATCTGATCGGAATCAGTCTTTTACTTATCTGGTTGCTGTATGTCCTGTATCTTGTCGTTGGCCTAAGTTTCAATCCATTTTTAATCCTTGCATATTGCAACCGACGACGAGAAACATTATCAATGCCAAAATATGGCCTTAAATAACAAAACTGAACGATTATTTTTGGAATTCAATTGGTGACTGAATTCAATCACTGTTTGCACCAATGGGAGAGACATAGTTGAGAGTGCTGACAAATTATTTGACACGGGACAATTCGACTTTTATTTCGTGATTGTAGCTCTCTTCGAACTCGTAGTTCTTTTAAGCGATTCCTTTATTGTGGTTCCGAAGTCTTGGGCGTAGTTAAAAGCACTAAATGCGTTGAGTTGAAGTGAGAAACCGCATGTAGGTTTTCCACTTGCGTTGTCAGAAGGTTTTTTTTTTTTTACCTCGATATAGATTTTGTCTACACCCTCTTCCGCGTCCCGCAATGTTAGCTTTTTCGCAGGTGTACCTTATTCGCATATTTCAAAAGCCTCATAAAGATATCTCCAAGGGTTTTAAGAAATGAAACTGTAAGACCGTAAGACAGTAAGACCTGTTAAAACACGAGCTTTTCTTTCTATTAAAAAAACCTCAATAGTTAGAACTGCAGTATCAGTTACAAAAATGATTTGTCGTAAGTACAAATTCCATGTACTTGAAAGAAAGACTGCTGATTTCTTTGAACCCTCAGAGATTCTTTTCAGCAGAACCAATGCTAAGAGTCAGAGCTTTTTTATTTGGGTAATGTTTAACTTGACGATCTTTAGGTCCGTGAAAACAGTATTTTCCTTTTCCAAAGACAGAAATCTTGTTAATATCAGAAGACGAATTATATTGACCTTGTATTGTGCAGATTTGGTCCTGTCTGTCTCGCTATTATTTCGCATCGTTTTTACAGTCTGAGTCGCGAAATGTGATAAATTCAAAACATTCTTGAAATGTTTGCCTCCAGGTACCCTGCGAGCCGTGGTTTCTCCGGCCTGGAGAAACCACTGCTCTCAGGGTAGCCTTCGGGAGATCCCACAATACATTGCGTATTCATGAAAAACGGAAAAGAATCAACCCTGACTGAATATCATTCCCTTTAAGATTTACCTGGGATGTTTTGCCCTTCGAAAGCTTTTCATTTTTTTAGTTTTCTCTCTATATATCTCTCTCTATAAATGTCGAAAAAGTCTATCAAAGACTTCTTTAATGTCGTTCAACTGGGAAATTATGGACCAAACCATAAGACGATAATCCAAGTAAACTGAAGCAAACTATAAGGCCCACGTGTGGTCATGGCGCGGTATCAACAAGAATTTTGCAGGAAATTTACTCCTAGCGAACACATGTCAGTATAGTATTTTCTTCAATGACAAACTTAAGAAATATTCAGAACGACTGAAAATAAATAAATGCCGACAATAATTGTTTTTTCCTTCTCGTGCTCATGATCGACATAAGAGACTAAAACTCAAAGTCACCAAAGGACCAAGCGTGGGGCAAGCGTGCGCAAAACTTACACAAACATGCACATGTCACAATTCTTCCAACCGATGCTTTTTCCAAATTTCTGCACAAAAAGACGCCTCGCCTTGTGCTGGTAAACATTCCAGTACCAGCTCAAGGAAGAACGTTTTAAAAGCTTTTTTTGATATCACGTTCTATAGTAAACAAACCTGGTAACTGCCAATTCTGTATTAATGGAAAGCAAAAACGTTATTTTGTACGAATAAAACCATATGGACCCGTGTGCGTACTTGTCAAAATGTTCACGCTACGCCCCTGCAGTTACGAATGTCTTCAATACACCTTTCGATCCTAGCCAAGGCGGCCTCTTGATTTAGCATTATCAATCGGACAGAAGGATAAGCAGAGTTGGCTATATCGTCCGCTTAGCAATGGATCTCTAAATTATGTTTGTCCACAATTTCAAATATCTTGCTAGCACATGCAAAAAACAACAAGGGCCCGAGGCACGAATCTAGAAGTACACTGCATTCCAAATCGAACTTCGTTGAGAGAGTGCATGTGCCGTCGATCAGTTGAAACTTGCTGAGTTCTGCCACTTAAGTATGATGCAAAGCAGGACAGTGCCGTATCCCGACCTCCAAACGCAGAACTAAACCTCTTAAGTAAGATACCATGATTAATGGTATCAAAAGCCGCGCTCAAATCCAACAGAACCAATGAGGTGACATGCTGTCTGTTCATGTTAGTACAATGTCATTTTTGACTTTCAAGAAAGCGGATTCCGTGCTGTGAAACTTACGATATGGCGACTGTAGCGTACTGTAGTGTATTCATGCAACCTCGTCCCCAGGGCGCTTTTTCCTGGCTTTGGAGGTCGGGCGCCTCACCTCCAAAGCCAGGGAAAAGCGGCCTGGGGACGAGTTTGTTATTTATGTTGATGTGATGCTGCAGTTGTTTGGCTAACGCACTCTCAGTCAGTTTGGAGATGAATTGTAAGTTACTGACAGGTCGATAGGTTTTGAATATTGGTTCTAAGCCTTCTTTCTGAAGTACAGGAAAAACCAGGGCATTTTTCCACATTCATGGAAAGACACCATGCCCGAGAGAGTAGTTGATGATCTTGGTAATTACAGGAAGAAGAACATGTAGGAATCGGATCCAAGCAACAGGTCTTCTTATTAGATGCACGAATCAAGTCGTGCACTTCCTCCTGGGATAACAAATTAAACTTGGAGAAGTTGAAGACAGGGAGATCAATAGAGAGGAGAAGTCGTTACGTCACGTTGCCATGGAAGCAAAATTTTTGGATGACAACAAACCGAAAAAGTTACTTAAACTTCACCGACCTTATTCAATTTCATTTAATTTGGCAAATCTCGGCGAAATTTTCTTTGGGACCGTATCTATCGTTATCTAAGTTCAGAAAATGAGAGCGACAATAGATGTATTGTACGGTTCACCTGCTCCATAAAGCAGGCTCGTGAAATTAGGAGAAGTTTCATGTCGTAGTGGTGCAACGACGATAAAGAAACGTACAAAATAGCGTGATGCACGTGTAAAGTTGTTTGTTAATATAAACATATTATTTTTTGTCGATCTCCTTGCCGTCGCGGTCGTTGCTGGTTTTGTTATCATCCAGAAATAGTGCTATCATGGTAACGTGACGTCACACTTCTCTCTATTTGGAGCCAACTATGTAGACTTGTGGTGAATGATTATCGAGATCAAAACGGATATTAGCAATCTTCCTAATAAAAAGGCCCCCATTTTAGCACATATAAGCAAGGAAATATCAAACTAATAATGGAAATAAAAAACAAATAACATTGCATTAAATATCCAGACAAATGACACAAGTTGTACGCTGTCGTAGGCCGAGATACTAGGGAGCTTTAGTATCGACGACGGCAACGGCAACTAAAACCTCAGTTTTAGAATGAATTCCCGTTTTTTCAATCTTTGTCGCGTTTATTCCAATTTGCTGAAAATGGCAAGTGTAGGCGAATTTCCCCGGAGTTGATTTTTTGAGCACCGCACTCAAGTTTAGAGAGAGAAAAAGAGATTCTTCGTCGCTTGTTTACGTCCTCCATAAAACTTGCAATTAAGCATTTTTACGTCGTAGTCGTGCAAGAACGGTGGAGAAATGTACAAAAAAGCGTGATGCACGTGCAAAAGTTGTTGTTTTGCCTAATAAACCTATTGCTTTTTTGACGTCCTGGTTGCCGTCGCCGTCGTCGTTGCTAAAGCTCCCTACTACGACCCCCATAGGGATAGCGCGGGTGCTAGTATATAACATTTTCTTAAAGCTTCATTATTATTTATTAAGGATGCCCAAAATCATAGATATCGGTTGAATTGTTTATTCTGAACAACGCGAATCAAAAACATAACTAACACGCTTAAAAACAGGTCCGGGACACCTTAATCTGCATGTCTGAACATATTTGCAGTTGTTTTACTTTACTGTTGCTGAAGACATTAAACACAGGCTATAGTTTGTTACCTAAGTCGTTCTCTACTTTGTTTCTTGCTTAATTTCACTAATTCTATCTTAGATTGTTGTTTTACAGGGTGTGATGAGGAATTAACAACAAAAGAGGCACGCAGTGCGTATGCCTACACTGTACATTCTTGAACACTTTGCAAAATCGAAAATCCTCCAAAATGTCACCACATGCACAGTGTAGAATTAACCAAAAAAGATCGGTTCAAAAACTAGAATTCAAATCAAATTAATAAAAGGCTATGTTAACTGGGCATTACCCTTACTAAATACGACCAATTTATACCTCAGTCAATTATATTTTTGCCGCCTTAACTTTGATCTACCAATCAACAACTGCATTTTTAAGGTTGTTTCCTTAATTAA